ATACAATATTTCCAGTGAGAACTGAAGTGCCTGATCCCCTTTTGATAAATGTTAGGACCTGTGTCTTCAGATTTCTGTCTTCCTTTGGGCTTTGTTAGAGCATCTACAAGGAAAGGGGATGACAGAGTTGAAGAGTTGGAACATAACAATTACCTCAATATAGAAAAATGATAAAGACACTAATTGTTTAAACAAATCCAAGATCTTCAATCTTCATGATCCTTTTAAAGAGAGGAATGGTACTTTTGAAGTCTAACAAACTGAGTCTCTTAGTGCCACTGACGAAAGGTCGTGGATGCTACCTGAAATATCTGACTGTTTCCAAAATCATATCCAGTTGCTTGTCCTGAGTAACTGTTTTTTTTGCGCATCTTATTACCAGGATGTCTAACTTTAATCGTCGTACGTAGTCTTAACAATTGTTTCCCTTCCCTGCAAATCTTGCTACACTGTATTTTCTTACTTCAGCTTACTCCTCTCCCTGTGCCATATTAACCATGTTAAGTTTTGGTGCACAGACGGATCCGTAGCAGGGAAGCAGGCTGAGTGTACATGCAGCTCTGGTAGGGCTGAGTTAGACAACGGCTACTCACCTCTGCCTACGATCACCACATGGTCGTTATTAATGTTCCCACCATCGTCCACATCGGCTGACCCTGGGTGCTGCAGAGATGCCATCCCAGGCATGGGGGAACCTGGAACGTACACACAACAATATCAATCAACTGGTCATCTTACTAACGTATTCTGTATAACCAGCCCTGCAAAATACACACACTCTGGGTGCTGCAGAAATGCCATCCCAATATCATTAAGTTGGAGTTGTTAGTAGCCTCAAATGTAGCTCGCTTATGAACTCTTAAGAATCAAGGTCTAACAAATTCTACAACTGCACAATAAATATGATATAATGTGTTATGACTGTGTTGGCTGAACGCCCTAGCCCACCTCCTTGTTCATGACCCATGATACGAATATTACAGTCACACATTGGTGAGCCTACCTTTCTGTTTTTTCCTGTCCCTCATGTCAGCTCCCCTGGGTGGGGCAGGTCTGGTGGGGAGGGTGGGGGAGGCCTGCCCCAGGGGTGGGGATGCCTTTTTCACAGGCTCCGGTCTGGGCTCACTCGCGTCCGCCATGTTACTGCAAACATAAACAGGTGCAAGGTAAGGTTCCTGCTTTGTACTTAACAAAAGTTGTCTTCACTTTTTTGCATATCAATGAACATTTCGTGCTTATAAACCTGCATTTCTCCCCTGGTATCTTAGTGTCACTGACGAAAGGTAGTGGATGCTACCTGAAACATCTGACCGTTCCAAAATCATATCCAGTTGCTTTTTTGGTGTAAGGTTACTGTTGTTTCCTTCACTCAAAACAAGTAACTGTTGGTCTAATAACAAATTACAGTTTGAGAAAAAGTCAAGTCTATAAAAATCCCACTGTTTATATGCTTATATAACCTATATGCTATATTGCATTATGTACAGGGGGTACATAAAGATATGTACAGGTGTAAGGTAAGGTTCCTGATTTTTTTTTGAGGAAAGGTCAAGTCTAGTTTGACAGGCGCTTGTCTCACCTGTAGCTCATCCTCTGCCCGACCACGCTGACGTCGGAGCTGGGTTTGTCGCGGAACGTCACGCCGCTGTTGGGCTGGTACTCAAACGGGTTTGGCTCCGTGTTCCGTTCGGGGTCACCCTCGGTGGGAGGGGAGCGCCGTCTGCCTGCAGAAGCTCGGCGAGCCATGAGTGGCTTCGACCCAAACGGAGACTCCGCGCCGGATTTCCTGCAAGGAGCAACAAAAAGCTCAATGTCATGTTTTTTACAGGTTCAGTGCAGTGACAGATGATAGAGCGAGAGAGAGAGAGAGAGAGAGAGAGAATGGTTTATTCGCAACCTTTAAAAAATACACTTCAAACAGTTCACAGCTGTCACACATGCAGCTAAGTCGATTTTGACATTATAGTTATACATTACAACAATAAAATGATCTTAAATACGAGATAAAAACTGTACTATATAATATCTTTATAAGGCTCTAACACTTATATAAGATAACACTTCTAAAGCATTTTCCTCAAGGCATTAGCGACAGTATGTTTGGCCTAAATGGAGACTCAGCTTCGGATTACAGCAAAAATAGTTTCATCACAAATTGAACCGATGAACAGACTATAAGCCTGGATTGAAAGTCTACACTAATGAAGTACATACAAGTCCAGCCGAGAAGAGATAGTCTTACACAAAAGCAGATTATTGCACAGATCCTCACAGATTTGCTGTGCCCAAGAACCGCAGGACAACGGCAAATGGCGAGCTACCATCAGCAAGCACGTCTAACCCTCAGTTACAGGGAACAACAGACGATAACAGACGATAACAGATGATAACAGACGATAACAGATGATAACAGACGTTAACAGATGATAACAGACGTTAAAAGATGATAACAGACGATAACAGATGATAACAGACGATAACAGACGATAACAGATGATAACAGACGATAACAGATGATAACAGATGATAACAGACGATAACAGACGATAACAGATGATAAAAGATGATAACAGACGATAACAGATGATAACAGACGATAAAAGACGATAACAGATGATAGACGATAAACAGATGATAACAGACGATAACAGACGATAACAGATGATAACAGACGATAACAGATGATAACAGACGATAACAGATGATAACAGATGATAACAGACGATAACAGATGATAACAGACCAGAACAGATGATAACAGATGATAACAGACGATAACAGACGATAACAGATGATAAACAGATGATAACAGACGATAACAGATGATAATAGATGATAACAGACGATAACAGATGATAACAGACAGAGAGACTCACCCTTTTCTCTTGGGAGTCGTCTTTGGAGTGGAGCTGGCCTCGTCGTCCAGAGGGAGGGTGGACATTGGAGAGAAGAGCCCGCTGTCGTCAAGGGAAGAGGAGGGAGGGGAGGGCGATCGTGACGAGGCGGCCGACAGCGAGGAGTAAAGACTCGTCTCCGACAGGCTGTTCACCAGCTTCTGCGCTCGCTTCTTGGACGCGCTGTTCCGGATCTGCCTCAGGGACGACTCCATGTCGATCTGGGGACAGAAACAAGCATCAGCTGGTTAACTTATCGTCTGGTACAGAGATGCTAACGAAGTGATGATCTCCAACTGTGACAAATTAAATGCCACCAGTCCTTTCTCTGGTTCTGTGTGCCCGTGCTCTCCAACATCTGAATGATATAGTTATAAATTTTTCTAAATTTTTACCCTTTTTGCTTGTCTATCTGCTACAGTAACGGTAACCTTAAACTATGTAATGATGGTTCCTACTCCGTCCCTCTCTCCCCGCTCTCCCGGGTAGAAGTGGGGACGTAGGAACTTGTTTATCTACATGTATTCATCTACAGTAACAGTAACCTACATGTACGTATCACTACCCCACACCCCACAGTAACCTACATGTACATGTACGTATTACTCCCCCCACCACCCGTCCCTTCTCACCTCCGGCTCCGCATGTCCGCTCTCCCGGTTGGACGTGGGGACGTAGGAACTGTCCCTGCCACTGTCCAGCTCGTCCCCCTCCCTGGGGCTGGGCTCCCCACCGGTGGGGATGGGCGGGATCACCTTGTTCCTCCGCTTGGAGGCGGAGCGCGCCAAGGCCGGCTTCATGGGGATGGGCGTCTGGTTCTCTCTCCCTGGTTCCTTTCCTGAATCGTCAGAGGATTGGTTGGTTAGATTTATAGATAGGTTATTGATTGATTGATAGGTTATTGATTGATTGATAGGTTATTGATGGATTGATAGGTTATTGATTGATAGGTTATTGATTGATAGGTTATTGATTGATAGGTTAGCGGGACGAAAATTATCATTCCTTTGAGACATATTTTGTAATGCAAAGGTTTGCCTCTTAGTAACTGCATTTATTCTCAGATGAGTTTAACAGTGCCAACATTTCGATGACCACTCGTCACCTTCCTCAGGGGAATAGTGAATAGTACTGCACTGATATGTCAACTTGTAATGAAGAAAGCCGTATATGAAGAACGTTGTTATACAGCCATCAACATGATGAACTTATTCCCATTCACTTTTCTCTGTTTACTGAAGAGAATAATGATGCCACACATGTACATGTAGATCTGTGTGAGCTGAGCGGTTGGTGCAGTATTTATGAAAGCTGAAGTTCTGTTGTTTATGTCTGAGTAAGAGGTACTTGAGACTGAGAGCTCGGTGGGGGAGGGGGGCGGTAACCACAACAATCGGCAGGTGCAGCTTACAGCTTCTCCTCCGAACAATAACAACATCACACTTCTGTCAACAACTTGTCTGACTCATCTGGTCTGGGATCTCTCAACATACAGTACCCGTACTGGAGGTCCTGTGTTTGGGACAGCCATAACACCCCACCCACCACACTTACTACTGTAGGAGTCTAGGGGACCTTCCAGGTGTGAGTGGTTCAATCCTTACAGTCCTATAGCCGCATCTGGGGTCGTATTGAGGTCACCCTAGTTAGCGCCGAATGGCAGCCGCTCCAGAAGCCCCAAAAATTGTAAGCTCCTCACAATTCAGCCCTTGGCTGCGAAGAGAAAGTAGCCGGCCCACCCAATACAAAATTACAAAATAATGTTCCTTTCTAACAGACCAAGAAAATCTGTGTTTTAAATGATCATTCTCTTCTGATTACCCCATTCTACATGTTAACCTGAGCCTCTGTTTTTTTGAGACAAAAAATATCCTTTCTCGACATCATATTATTATTAAGTCTTTCTGAACATAACCAGTAAAGGGGAATATCTTCAAGTCTAGCCTTGTTAAAACCTGTATGACGTAGTGTACCCTTACCCTTGTATCTCTCCTGTATACCGTAGCGTACCCTTACCCTTACCCTTGTATCTCTCCTGTATACCGTAGCGTACCCTTACCCTTGTATAACGTAGCGTACCCTTACCCTTACCCTTGTATCTCTCCTGTATACCGTAGCGTACCCTTACCCTTGTATCTCGGACTCTCCTCAGAAGCCTCCAGTCTGTCAGAACTGGTGTTCAGCGACGAATCCAGAGCTGGGAAAAAAATAAACCAGTTATTTTTAATCCTAATCGAACAACTGTGAACTTGGATCAATTTCCTTTCTTCCATTTTGATGCTTTAATAACTCTTCTCCCGATGCAGATTTAGTGAAGTGATAGGAAATTAATCATAGTCAGCAAACACTTCTGCTGTCAAGTATGAATATTTCATCCTCATCCCTCCCTTAGTCAACATTTAATTTCCTGTACATGATGGGCTCATTCACACATGAATGACAAGAATGCAGCTGGATTGGGCTGAATACCGGGGACAGGAAGGCTTACACTCACTAGTCTGTCTCCTAGACAACAGTGCATAAAACCTATTCTGACTGCAGCCTGTTACCGGATACGGTAGTTTTTAAACCATTCCCTGGACACCATTTTCATGTATATGAATGTATGTGGGCAGGAAATGACGTCATCAGCTTTCATATACCACGTACATCTTTATCTAGTTGTGAGTACTCAAAACTTTTAACCCTCAGCCTGCTAAGGTAGCTGTTTGGCACCAAATTTGTACTGGTTATAGGGTCAGGCAGTGGGGAGAAGGTTAAAAAAACAGTAAACAAGAGCCATCTCCCATGCAAAATTTGTGACCCTTGCATATCTAGATCATATCAAAATGGCAAGTTTTGCTGCAGTACTAAGGAAAGCCACCGGGGGCCCAAAATCGAATCAATTCTACCCACCTACCAAGTTTCATCACAATCCATCCATTGCTTCTTGAGTTATGCTGTTCACAGACAGACATACCAACAAACGGACAAATACTACTGAAAACATAACCCTCTTGGCCAAGGTAAAAAGCACTGTTTACCACTGAGTGGGTCCTGCGACTTCTTGGGTTTGGGCATGTCAGCGAAGTCCCTGGACTGGTGCGGCCAGGAGTTGGAGAGGCTTGCTCGCTGGTTCCTGGCCTCGTCCCGCGGCTGGTCCACGAACGACGGGACGTAGTGGTGGCCGAGCGGGCTCTCGTTCCGAACCCCCGTCCCCGCGGGCGGGTCCTCCGCGTCACGCTGCTCACGGCGCTTCTTCGGAGACGACATACTGCTGACAGGGATCACACCGGCTGGGGACACACAAACAAACAAACAAACAAACATAAATATCATACTGCTGACGGGGATCACACCGGCTGGCGGACACACAAACAAACAAACATAAATATCATACTGCTGACGGGGATCACACCGGCTGGGGACACACAAACAAACAAACAAACAAACAAACATAAATATCATACTGCTGGTGGGGATCACTCCGGCTAGCGGACACACAAACAAACAAACAAACAAACATAAATATCATACTGCTGACGGGGATCACACCGGCTGGGGACACACAAACAAACAAACAAACAAACAAACATAAATATCATACTGCTGGTGGGGATCACTCCGGCTAGCGGACACACAAACAAACAAACAAACAAACATAAATATCATACTGCTGACGGGGATCACACCGGCTGGGGACACACAAACAAACAAACAAACAAACAAACATAAATATCATACTGCTGGTGGGGATCACTCCGGCTAGCGGACACACAAACAAACAAACAAACAAACATAAATATCATACTGCTGACGGGGATCACTCCGGCTAGCGGACACACAAACAAACAAACAAACAAACATAAATATCATACTGTTGACGGGGATCACACCGGCTGGGGGACACACAAACACACAAACAAACAAACATAAATATCATACTGCTGACGGGGATCACACCGGCTGGGGACACACAAACAAACAAACAAACAAACAAACATAAATATCATACTGCTGGTGGGGATCACTCCGGCTAGCGGACACACAAACAAACAAACAAACAAACATAAATATCATACTGCTGACGGGGATCACTCCGGCTAGCGGACACACAAACAAACAAACAAACAAACATAAATATCATACTGTTGACGGGGATCACACCGGCTGGGGGACACACAAACAAACAAACAAACAAACATAAATATCATACTGCTGACGGGGATCACACCTGCTGTACAGGACACAGAGATCAGGCTTAGGAAAACTTTTTTCACAAACAAACAAACAAACAAACAAACACACATACACACACATACATGATAGTGCTGTTGGTGATGACACCAGCTGTGGGGACACAGCGAGTTTCTTATACAAGATGGATGAATTATCTAACATTAAAGTAGCTTTCCAACATTATCATACAATAATCATTTTTAAAGTCAACTGCAAATCCTTCAACGGGCAACTTGAACACCCTTTGCCACGCTGAGGAACCTTTTCCTGACTGAGGAAGCTCCAGCCTGTATTTGAATATGAAAAGGAAGCCTCCAAAAGACAGGCAGCCTCCTCATTATGATCACTTATTAACACCACAGTCTTTAACCCCTGGGGGCTCATTTCCCCAGACAGTTTCATACTCAACTTCCAGCTCAGAGGGCAACAGTCCACAGATACAAAACGGGACCCTACCAGACCCAGGCTCACTGAGATACTTTGTGTCCAGTGTGCTATGGGTTTGGCACCCAGGCTAACAGATACAAGAAACAATCACCTAACACAGCATTCCGTAAATATAGACAACAGGAAAGAATTTGAAATGAACTTTTCAGCCCAGAATTTCATTTTGTTTTGATAGGGGAAATCTACTAACAGCAGTTTGTAATTTTATAGCATGCCTTTCATGATCATCAATACACATTTACATGAAATGAATGATGGAAGAAAATTTTAACCTGACATTTTTCTATAACCACATTTTATCCAATATGGGAATATGGGAAATGGATGTACATACAAAATCTTTAAACTGCCCAAAAGTCACTGTCAATCCTCCACCAGCCTGAGGGATTTCCAGTCCAGAACCCAGGCATCCCTTTAACCCTCCCTTCTCTGCTGCTAAACTAGCCTACACCAGGCTTCGGGAGGCGGCTGCAAAGGAGAGTAGAAATTGGCCAAATAGAGAGATAACATGCCGAGGGAGTAGTGTCCGCTAGAACTTCGTAGAAGAGCACAGGGTGAGGCAAACTGTACTCTCTACGCTGAACAACTACCCTGGCATGTTATCTGTCTATTTGGCTAATTTCTACTCTTCTTTCCAGCCGCCTCCCGAAGCCTGGTGGAGGCTAGTTAATCCTCACCTGAGTGCACCACCATCGCACACCCCATGGCAACACCTCCTCCTGCACACTACAGTTATAATGTACACGGCAGCGGCTGACAGCTACAGAGACAGAGCCGAGGAGAGCCTGACTCAAACACCAGCCTGAAGTCTGCCCAGCTCAACAGGCGTTAACAACACACACACTCAACTCAAGGGGAAACTCACCAACCAGGGCAAACCAACCGCACGGATTAGGGGGGTGTTTTTCACGCTGCTAACTCGGGAGTAAATGTCAAAAACGTTTCGTAACAGGATGAAGACTACACGATGTTGGACCTTTCAGCGTGTTTGATTGGTAGTGCTAGTGCTAGTCTAAGAGTTGTTAGCTTTTGGTTTAACTTTTCGCTGCACAATTTTGTAACACCCCCGCTAAATGATGAAATGGTACATGCTGATGCCACTATTCATAGAGCA